AATTCTGAGGTGCTATTCAACTTTCAGGTTTTCTGTTCTGAACACCAATACTACATTTGTTAATGAATCAGATTCAAGTTTAGGCCTCTAGCCTTTTCCTTATAGTTCCATCAATAAACTTCTCATCTTAACTCCTCCAAATTTCTATTAAACCTTACATTTCCAGTATCTTTGTTTCTGTGTAGGTGGGCCAGAATTAGCAGTAAGTCAAAAAGAGGGCTCTAGGAAATATAAAACTACTGAAAACATGAAATAAAATAGCATTACCAAATGTCTTAAATTTTGCGGACAAACCTGAGAACATTCCACACAGTGGGAAAGGAGCTACAAATCCATAATTGCTCATTTGTTGTTTTTTTTAAAAGGCTGAAGCAGGCTTCCCTCACCAATCCTGTCCACATTCTCTAAATTGCTCTCATTCCACACCTTCTGTTTCACTGTTTTCTCATTAAGCTGTTCAGTGTTTACCTTCTTATACTCTCTGCTTTTTCTGTCCCATCCCAACCACTGTACTCCTTCCTCATACTGTTGCCTTGCCTTTCCTTTGCCGTTCATCATGCTTTTTCTCATTCTTCTATGCATTGCCAATTGTAGCCCTCATTCTAGAATCTTGTTCATTCTCACTCTTCTTTGCTTTACAGCTAGAATAACATTTCTCCTGTCCCAAACTTCTATTTCCTCTTAGAGAGAAACTGCATATCCTTCACCAAAGACACATATACCTATATCTTGGATGGTTAACTTCTTCTTGGAGCATGAAGTTTTGGGAGGGATGCACATGGGGCAGTGAGGGAAGTAAGGGATAACAGCTAGCCATCCAGATCAGGCTAATCAACCCTGGCAATCAATGGCACGCCAGATATTACAGCCATATTTCCCTCACATCCCTCATTCCTCTCCTCAGCTCAATGTGAAATTCATCCTGTGTCCCATTGTTTTTTATTCCCTTGTCCAGGATCCAACCTTCTTTTGCCTTTATTGTTATTATAATTACTGTCATTTTGGGAAAAAATATTTTTACAGAAAGCTGAAGAGTTTTACCGTATTGATGGATAAGAATTTGGGAATAAAGAATTGGAAATCCTATCATAGTGAATCAGTGTTCTTATGTTTTAAGACATATAAATATATTTCATTAATATCAGGTATTCATATCCTGATTGTGAGGGAACCTGGTAGATTCTCAGCCTGAAGTTGAGCATGTAATTGTCAATCATCTGAGAGCGATGAGTCAGACTCGGTGCAGATGGCTGCTGATTCTGATAGAAGGGAATCAGAGACTCATTGTCCTAAAAATGCTGATTTCAAAAACCATGTTTAGGGGAACTAAAACTGAAAAAGATTAACTACAGAGTCCTTAAAAATGGCATTCCTTTGAAGAAGGGAGTGTGGATAATGCTTCTGTCTCAGTTCTTACAGAATGACAGACTCAGCTCTTTCCATGAGTGGGCCTTTGAGGATAGGTGGTTTCCATTGATAGACCTTTTATATGAGCCTACCCACTTTGCTGATTCTATTTTATATTTAACACTTTCTCAGCTGGCATAATATTTCTGCCCCTTTGACTAGAAGGAGAAACTGTCTGGACTCCTAACAATTTTACCCGGTGAAGAAGGAAAAAAAGAAATTGTCACAGTTTCTACTTGAATTTGTAAAATCCTTTCAGAAGTCAGTAGGTACCTCAGCAACCAAGGATAAAATCATCTCAGAAGCAGTGATGTGAGAAAGGCATCTTCCAGCCATGGAACACAGAAAACACTACTTTTTGATGTGAATAATAACAATAACAACAATAATAAAAGACAGGTAATTGTTGACTTTGCTGTTGTTGCAAAGTCAACAAATTGTTGGCTTGGGCTGGGTTGAAGGCAATATTGTGTGTTCCTGCACATGAAAAAGCATTAATAAGCCTGAAGGTGGGGCAAAAATGAGTGAATTAGTCTTTACTTTCATAAACATCTTTTGTTTATTTCATTCATTAAGTCATGCTCTCTTTTAATACACCTTATTACAAGTTGGCCATCATCAGATGGGTCCATAAATAACAAACTCAGCCACCACTATGGCTTTAATTAACCATGGCTTTCACATAATTCCATGTGGTTAATATTAGGTACAATACTACAGGTTTGGGGACATTTTGGCTATTATTTCCAAGGACAAAAGAAAGAGCCCATTTTTACCCCACTCATGCATTAACTATTCTATGCAAACTAGGATCTCTAAGCTAGACATTATCTTGTAATACAGGGTGTCAAAATCAAGGCCCATGTATCAGATCTGGCCCATAGGGTGCATAAATCTGGCCCACGGGGTTGGCCTGGCCTGGCCAATGATGCCTATGGCAGCCAAAATGGGGCACAGGGGGCCTCACATGGCCCTCCCTTGCCCCATTTTGGCTGGCAGGGTGCTGCAGGAGGCCATCCAGGCCAAAAATGGGCTGTGGTTGAGCCTTATGTGGCCTGCTGTGCCCCATTTTGGCTGGCTGGGTACTGCAGGAGGCATCCATCCTATCTCTCCCCCTCCACCCCCCCGGCATGCAGAGGAGAACTACAATGCTGATCCGGCCCTCAAGGAAATCCAGTTTGATACCCCTGTTTTAAGATAATATATTGTTGCCCAAATTCCATCAGCTAGGAGATACATTCAGTGTACTAACACACAGGTTACTTGCTCAGTTTCTGATATGGATTGGGTAGCCCTTTTTGGGTGTTCTCTCTCTCTCTCTCTGTGTGTGTGTGTGTGTGTGTGTGTGTGTGTGTGTGTGTGTGTGTGAAAGAGAGGGGGGGAGAGAGAAAAAATGTGTGATCTAAAGAACATTAATGAAATAAGTTTTATGCCCATTGTAGAAAGAAACATTATTTATAGGAAATGCATTATAACTATAATAGCAAAGCCTAACACCTAGCTCTTAACATTCCACCAGAAAGTGAGTCAACAAGCTTTGCTCTTGTGTGCCTGGGAAGAAAAGCAAGGGGATATGATCTGAAATTAGGATTTTTTTTAAAGCAAAGAACAGAGAGACAGATTAAAAAAGGAATATAGAGTACATTCTTACATCTTGAACTACATTGCACTGTCTATTTGTGGTCAGTAGGTCAGAAAAGCTGGTGCCATTCGATATGGACTTCCAAAACTTTGTGCCAATTGGTCTGTTGCAAATGCCACAGGAGGAATGAGAAAATGGTACACAATATCCATAAACATCAGCTTTGATTCATTTAATAACAAATGTGCTGGATCTCTTATTATATATCACATGATTGTATATTGTAATCTATGAATCTTAATTATCCTAAAGCCACAGAATATTAATTTAAATAGTCCAGACAAAGTAGAATGTGTTAGTCACTATTCTATAAGACTTTTCAAAAAATTTCAAACCTTGAAAGAGTTATTTCATTCTTTCTCATTTTCTTTTTGTGAGGGGAAATAATATTAGAGAGGTTTTTTAATTGTCTGTTTTCTCTTGCCTATAGATGCTGCTGAACAGTTCAACTGTAACATTCATCTTAACTCACATTGCCATCCTTTTGGTGCACATCATATCTTTAGCCTGAAAATCCTTTTATCAGGATTTTTATTTGAAAGCTGTGTTTCCTTGGTCTTAAGCTTTTTGAAAATACCAATCATTCATTTCCTAGTGACAAGCATTGTATGAATTGCTCTTTCTTTCCACTGTAAAACTTTCATAACCAGTATTTATCACAAAAAGAAAAGGAAAAAGAAATAGTCTTGATGTTTCAGACAGACGCTCAGCGATGATAACTTTTCAAGTTAAATCTGTTGCATAACATTTTTAAAACATGTAGTTTAGCATTTCTACATAACACCAGAAAAATATATATGCAGAGTTTCTTGATTAAATGTTCACCTTTACTTGATTCTATGCTATACTACTACAAGTAATACCAATTAACATCTGGACCACAAATGTACTATTGCTCTTCCTTTAAAAGTGAGTTAGGGCTTACCTTTATGAAATCTAGAATGATCTTACTCCATCTTCTTTTTAGGTAAACCTCAGTCGACAGCAGGTACTCTATATGTATTCAGTTTGATTAATTTGTCCTGTAAATGGCAAGGGGAAATGAAGGAGTGGGAATTTGTCTGCAAAACTTCAAAAATCAATGGAACAGATCTTCAAGAAAAGATTGGGCAGCCATTTATCCAGGATGCAGTAAGGTCTCCTGCCTTGGGCAGTAGGGTGGTCTAAAAGAGCTTCAAGGTCCCTTCCAGTCCTACGATTTTGTGATTATAAGGACAGAGAGCTTGGAATAGTGATGAATACTATAGCTCAGGTGTAGAATGAGGATGAGGGTTCATTCTCTGAGCTTGCAGGTTGGTTTCCAAACGTTTCATTACCAGGCTAGGTAACATCTTCAGCAGAGTTTAGGAGATGCAGGGTTCTTCTGTGTATAAGGGCTTCAGGTGTGAGTGTGTCAAATGAGGGTTTTGTGGGGGGGGGGTCAGCTGTGAGTCATCAGTGAGTCTTGTGATGAGTCTTGTGATAAGGAGATTACATCTGGTGAGGGTCATTGCTAGTGGGTTGATTGAGGGTTGATGCTGTGTCTGTCTGTCTGTCTGGTTGATTTGGATTCTGAAGGGTTTGTAGGCTGGTTGTAAGTCAATTGTCTGTTGATGGAATTGCTTTTGGAGTGCCAGGCTTTGATGAACTCGGAAAGGTTGAGGGGTGGTAGCGTGGCCAATAATTTTTGTGTTGCTCCAATAAAAACGGTGGTTTGGTGTCGGTGTGGGTAGAGATTAAGGATTTGGGATTGTGGTGTTTTATGCTAGCCGGTGTTCATGGATTGAAATGATATTTACCTATGTAGGATTGATTGCAATGGTTACAGTTGTTTTTTTAGATATATTGTTTCTTTCATTGATTCAGCATGGAGGTATGAAAGGTAAAGAATACTTCAAAAAGATGGAAAGATTAATGCATATACGTGTACAAGTAGTTCTCTTTAAGATGAGAATTGTATGTTCTACACCCCTGCAATTGGCCCTTGGAATTGCTCATGGAGTTTTGGTTACCGAAAGGCAAAACATAGGCAACTTATGCTCTCTTCCAGATAGCATGCTTAATTGCCTGCCATATGCATAAATACCCACCAATGGAACAAAGCAGGGAATTCATGTTTGATGTACACCAAAGATAGACACAAACTTTTTCATGGGAACCTTTAAGAATTATGCCATGTAATATGGTTACTGCATACACTGTTGGGAAACAACTTCCTAACAATACCAAAACCAAATATCGACAAGACCATGAAGGTGTGCTGTAATAACACTCACTTCTCATCAGCATTAGGATATTTTCTTGGCTGGGACTGGGTAAGAAACTTACCAGAATAACAGAGTTGGAAGGGACTTTAGAGGCCTTCTAGCCCAGCCCCTTGCTGAAGCAGAAAACAGATACCATTTCAGACAAATGATTGTCCAGTCTCTTTTTAAAAACGTGTTGCAGTACCCACAATTTGGAGGCAAGTCCTTTCACTGTTTGTCAGGAAAAATTTCCTTAGTTCTAGGTTGCTTCTCTCCTTGATTAGTTTCCATCCATTGTTTCTTCCCTTCCCTTCTGATGCTTTGGAAAATAGGTTGTCCCCCTCTTTTTTGTGGCAGTCCCTCAAATATTGGAACACTGCTATCATGTCACCCTTAGTCCTTCTTTTTGTTAAACTAGACATACCCAATTCCTGCAACAGTTCTTCATATATTTTAACCTCCAGTCCCCTAATAATCGTTTTTTCTCTTCTCTGCATTCTTGCTAGAGCCACAACATCTTTTTATATCATGGCAACCAAAACTAGATGCAGTATTCCAAGTGTGGTATTGGCAGGGCATTATAAAGTGGTATAACACCTTGTGTTATCTTGATTCTATACCTCTGTTAATGCAGCCTAGGACTGCCTTGTTTGTTGTAGCAGCTACAACATACTGCCGGCTCATATCTAAGTGATTGTCCACTAGGACTCCAAGATCCCTCTTGAAGTTATTGCTATTGAGCCAGGTTTCATCTAATTTGTACCTGTACATTGAATTTTTCTTGCCTAAGTGTACAACCTTACTTTTCTCTACATTGAATTTTATTTTGTCAGGTAGGACCCAGTGTTCAAGTCTGCCGAGATCCATTTGGATCTTAAGCCTATCTTCCGGTGTATTAGTTTTTCCTGCCAGCTTGGTATCATCTGCAAATTTAATGAGTCTCCCCTCTAACCTTTTCTAAGCAGTAGGCTAGATTCACCATTTATTTCTATTCAAAAGTTGTAAAATCAGTACTTCCATTAAGAAACATTTTAGCACTTTTCAGAGAAGCAGAAAAAGTTATGAGAGGAAGAATGGCATTTATCAGAGAAGGTGCCACACATTCCTTCCCAAAACATCCAGCCATTAAGAGGTCATCATTTCAGTTTTGCAGACACATCCCTACTCCTTCATTTCCCCTTGTCATTTACAGAGAAAATTACAAGCCTATACAAAGGATCTGTTCCTTTAAATTTATATTCTTTTTTAAAAAGACAGGCTAGCATATAAATGGAAAATGGAAAGAGAGATTCATTTTCCACAAGGAAAAAAGGTCAGACTACTGAATTAACTTCAAAATTTAGCCATATTTCATTTAAGGATTAGAACTAAGGATTCTACTATTTCTTAGAGTGATAAAAGGATAATCTGCCAGTCCCCATTTAAGTCTCCTTTAAGCTTCTCACAAAGATCAAATGAAGTTTGTCTGCCAAACCTTGAGGTAACCTATTGTATTAAACTTCCAAATCTGTAAAAGAAAAAGCACAAGAAAATGTATATAAAGCTCTGTAAATCAAGGAGGCTCATCCAGGTAGTCCTTGAATCAGGAGGAAAATAAGTCAACATAAACTGTACTGACCCTAGAGGCTTCCTATTATGCCTGTAATGGTATATAGGAATGACCTTGGGAGATAGGAGCATGAGCTATGGACTGGACAACCTATGTATAAAAGATATCTCAGCCCCCACAAGAGAAAGGACATTTCAGATGGCACCCTCCCTAGTTTTCAGGAGAGTTAAAAGAAAGAAGGGGAGACATATCTATGAAGAGTCTCAGTCATCCAGGCCATGGTTGTCCCAAAGCAGTGGTGGGATTCAAATTTTTTTTATTACTGGTTCTATGGGCGTGGCTCAGTGGGTGTGGCAGGGGAAGGATACTGTAAAATCTCCAGTCAGTAATTCTCCGAGCTACTCAAAATTTCCATTACCAGTTCTCCAGAACTGGTCAGAACCTGCTGAATACCACCTCTGTCCCAAAGATGCTTTTTGAAAAGGCAACTGGACTTTCTTGATTTTTTTTTATCTTCCTTTTTTTAAGACCTGAAGAAGCTTCTTGGATGAGAAGCAAATATTTTCAAGGAAAAAAAAAACAAGAAAGTCTGGTGGTTTTTTAAAAAAGTATCTTTGGGTCAAGGGAGAAATATTTTCAGTCTTTCAAGATTCTGTTAACCTTACAATAAAGACAGAGGTAGTAATCTTGGTTGGACATAAAATATAGACTTCATCAAGGCATTCAACAAAGTAGACCACAACCTACTTCTTGGTAAGCTAGAGAAAAGTGGGATAGATAGCATCACCATTAGATGGATTTGTAACTGGCTGACAAACTATATTCAACAAGTAGTCCTTAGTGGTACTGCATCTACATAGAGGGAAGTAAGCAGTGGGGTACCACAAGGCCCAGTACTCTTCAATATCTTCATAAATGATTCAGATGAGGGAATAGAAGGGGAACTTACCAAATTTGAAGATGATACTAAACTGGCAGGAATAGCCAACACCCTAGATGATAGGTTCAAGATCCAGATGGATCTTGACAGACTTGAACACTGGAACCTATCTAACAAAATGAAATTCAATGCAGAGAAAAGTAAAACCTTACATTTAGGCAAGAAAAACCAGAAGTACACATATAGATTGGATGAAACCAGGCTTAATAGCAGTAACTATGAGAGGGATCTTGGAGTCTTGCTAGACAACTAAGGCCAAAAAAACCAATGCAATCCTAAATTGTATTAACAGAGTGATACAATCAAGGGAGGTACTAATACCATCTATAAAGCTTTAGTAAGACCACACATAGAGTACTGCAGTTTTGGTCACCCACACTATCAAAAAGATGTTGAGACTCTAGAAAGAGGGCAGAGAAGAGCAACCAAGATGATAGGGGATTGGAGGCTAAACATACAATGAATGGTTGCAGGAACTGGACATGGCTAGTCTAGTGAAGAGAAGAATCAGGAGAGACATGATAACAGTGTCCCAATATTTGAGGGGCTGCCACAGAGAGGAGTGGGTCAAGCAAGGGTGGGATTCTACCGGTTTGGCTCGGTCTGGGTGAACTGGTAGCTCAGAGGATCAGCTGGGAAATAACTGGTTTGGTTTGCTCTGAAGATCAGCTGTTGGGCTCACCCACGCACACAGGCTTTAGGCTGTGCTTTATATCCTGTTTTTCAAGCTCAGCTGATTCGCACGGCACAGCGGATTGCCGCACATTTGCTGTTTAACACACATGGATGGCTGAAGAAGGTAAGCAGCAAATGCTCTGTGTGTGTGCAAAGCATGCACTCACTGAACCGGTTGTCACACCAGTTGAATTGCACCCCTGGGGTCAAGCTATTTTCCAAAGCACCTGAAGGCCAGATAAGGAATAATGGATAGAAAATGAACAAGGAGAAATTCAACCTGGAAATAAGAAGATATTTCTGACAGCGAAAACAATTAACCAATGGAACAGCTTGCCTTTGGAAGTTGTGGGAGTTTCATCACGAAGCTTTCAAGAAGAGACTGGACTGCCATCTGTCAAAAAAGGTGTAGGGTCTGCTTGGGTGGGAGGTTGGACTAGATGACCTATAAGATTCCTTCCAACTTGGTTAATCTGTATCTATCTGATTGTGCTTTGTGTCTGCACTATCTTGCTGAGGTAATAATGCCTCAACAAAGGCCTGTTAATAAGAATGGAGTTACAGCCCCACCCACAAGGCACTTCAGTCCAAGGGCTTGCCTTTGTTCCACCAGCAATCCTACTGACGTTTCTTTCAGGTCTAGTTGCTGTATGGCTCAATAGCTTTCCTGGAATATTTTGGGGTCTTAGAAATGAAGCTGCTTGCACATGGCTCTTGTTATTAATGGCCACTTGCTATTCACAATAACTGGGTGAGATATCCTGGACTGATAAAGAATATCTGGTCTAGAATAACTGATTTGATCATATAATTAAGTGTCTGAGACAAACATATAACATGCTATGCTGATATCACCCAAAGCAAAGCATAAGAAATAAAATTAATTCTTCAACTACTAATTACAATTTATATGTACTTATATAAAAAGGAAAAATTTAACCCATAAGAAAAGGATGCATCCCGACTTCCGGTTTGCTTGTTTTTGGAGTCAGAGTGGAATCTGTGATCGTGTGCAGTTTCACTTTGGGCTAATTTGCTGGAGGGTCCTGATTGAGATCAGAACCACACTGGAGGGGTGGTGAAGAAAGGGGGAATTGCCTGGAGGGTCAAGGGGAGCCTCAACTCCCCTCCCTGACAAGAAAAACCCCTTCCAAAGGCAAGCTGTAACAGTGGCCTAAAATGGCCAGCATGAAGATGAAGAGCAGTGTGGGAAACTAAGACTGTGCTGGAGCAGAGAAGAAGCAAGCAGAGTGTGAACCAGGCAAAATGCATGGACTTTAAGGTAATCTGGTATTAAAAAAATAAAGGAATGTTTTGGAGGAAAGTGTGGAGAAGTGACAACCAGATAAAGTGAGAAGGAATTGGATCTTATAAAATTGGCTTGAATTATTGTAATGGATTAAATTGGAGGAAAAAATTTAAAGGAAAATACTGGAACACAAAAAAGGCTTGGAAATCAAATTGGAGAACTATTGGACTTTTGGCACTTAAAAGGCATAATTAAATGCTGAAATTGAATGTGTTGAAAAGAAAAGAAATAATAGCTAATAATTGAAATTAGCAAACTTATTGAAAGTAAAGGAAAGAGTGGATTGTGGAAAAGAATTAAGAGCGCCATCTGATGGTATAGGAAAAATTTCAGTGACTCTTTGAAAAGTGCTTGGTCTTTCTAAGAAATTGGACTTTGGAATTTAAAAGAAAACAAAAGAAACTCCATTATAATAAAATAAAAACCCTGGAAATTGATATTAGAGTATTACAAGGGGAAAGATATTTGAAACATCATTATAGAACTACCCGGCAACTGTGGGAAACAGTTGGAAAAGGACCAACTAGAAGACTTGGAAACAAAGGTCTAAGGACATTGATTGTTGAAAATACTTTTAAAAGACACTGGCTGATATAATATACTGGGTTTTTTGGATTGAATACATTTATCAAGAAAGATGAAAGAAAAGAAAAAAGGAGCAGACATAATGGAGGATTGATTTGTTGAAATAAGCCTGGACTTGCAAGATATAAAGGAAATGATGAAAATTAAACTTGAAATGTGCAATAATGCATTACAGAAATTAGAAATGGTGACTCAGCTTGTAGAAGAACAAAGAAAACCAGAGGGGAAGTAGTTAAACAAAGAAGAAGCCAGTTTTGAAGAACAAAGGGAGCAACAAGCATTTAAGCAGGGGAAAAATGGAATTAAAATTAAAAATCTGTGGTCTAATGTGATAATTAAAGGGGGAATGGTTTGGAAAATGAAAAAAAGGAAAGGGAAAAAGCAGAAAGGGGAAGTACAATAGAAAGATCGAAAGCAGGAGGGAGATAAATTAAATAATAGAATGAGAAATGGAGGGGAATAACAATGGGGGAAAAAGAGAATAAAGAGAAAGGACCAGAAAATAAAGAGAAACAGGAAGCAAACAAGGATGAACAGGAACTACATTATTAGGAGAGTGAGAGATAATGGGTGAAAAAAAAAATAGAGAAGGGGATTCTGCAAGGTAACCTGTTATGATATATAAGAATAAGTATTGAATATAGATAAGAATGTAACTGATATGTTTTTTTCTTCAGTTTTTCTTTTCTTTCTTTACTAAAGGATTATCACTATATTAAATGTGGAATAATGAAATAAATACGGAAATGAGGATTTATAAGAATATTACATATTAATTGATGATTAGCAATGTATTAAAAAGGGAAAAATGAGAATTATTATGAAAAGATTAATATCAGTTGCTACAATTAACTGACTAGATTAATATTTTTGTAATGTATAGATGATTTATAAGGTGAATGAGAAAATGTAATGTGGAATCTGGTGAAAAAATATGTGTATGCATGATAAACAGGGAGATTGTTATTATGTTAGAATGAAGGTGGCTAGCTCGAAGTATTAACCAAAGAGGATGATTTTGAATTAATAGAATAAGGACTGATAAAACTGCAAACATGGCAGAAAAAGGTAATATGGGAAACTGAAATAGAAATGAGCAAGAATCTTAGATAACATTGTAAAATAAGATATGAGAATATTCTAAGAAAAATGAAATAAGCTATAATATGAACTGAAATTGGATAAAATAAGTTTAATACTTAATATTAACAAGGACAATGTGATATGAAGTTGAACAAATAAAATGAATAAGTAATTAGGGTCATGTTTGTATTAAGATGTGAAACCTGGACCCACACTGCTTGCAAAATGAGAATTTTTATTTAAAAAACAAAAATGGGAGAGGAAATTGTATAATGAGATTATTAGGTATGTTTAAATGATATGGTGGTTGGCATTAGGAGAGAGTATTGAAATGTGGAAAATAAGCAATGAAGGATTGTGATTTAGTATGTGTATTGAGAGATATGATTGGTATTGTTAACTTTGAATACACCAAAATGTTTGATATATTGATGCCACACTGTGTATATATTGTTGTGTATATGTAGATTGAAATAAAAAACTTAAAAAGAAAGAAAAAGGATGCATCCCAATAAGTCCTTACTTTCTTTAGTTCCTCACAATATATCTAAAAAAGTAATCTTTGTTTAGAACAAAAAACTGACTGCTTACTGTATTTAATGGCATACTGATTACGCCAAAATGAATCTCATTGGCTTGATATACTCAACACACCATCATATGGTTGTCTGACATAAATGTTTGTATGAACCCAATCACTATGGTTTGTAAATTATAGTTTAAGATTTAATATGCTTTTTTATTAAAATATATTTTAATATAAATATAAAACATAATACTATATATGTGTGTGTATATGTAAATATATATATATATATATATAAATACACATACACATACGCACACACACACACATATATATATACATGTATATATATGTTTTCTTAAGTTTTCGCAGGTATCTATATGTATGGTATTCAGCTTTGTTCGGGTATTTTCCCACGTCAGTATAGTTGTGCTTTTAAAGTTGATTGGCTGGCAACATTGTGTTTCCTGTATTGGAGGCTTTTAGTGTGGCTTGGCTTTGAGTAAACAGACGGCTATCATTTATTAGGAAGCTAGGTTTCGTCTGGGTGCCTGATTGGGGTGTGTTTCAGCTGGAGGTATCGGTGCGGGGGGGGGGGGGGGG